ACTCACTCACTCACTCACTCACCCAAAGGACCCCGAAAAAAGCGTTTCACACACAAGACAAGATACACTTGAGCAGGAGTCAACATGACAAGAAAGCTTTTGAACAACCGAGATGTCCTTGCGTATCAGCTCCCCGAAATGTAAGAAGGATGCCCCCAGAAAAATGACCACCAAAATCCTGAACAAATTTGAAGAACCGGGTACGTGCCATGGTTGGTCAGGAAGAGTGCTCGTTTTGCTGGTGACAAGGCCAGGGCACTGGCAATCATGTTATTAAACAAGATTGACGTTCACGAAAATGATTCAGGCGAAAAAACAGCCAGGTAGTAGCAGATTCGTTAATATAGATAGCAGCAGCGCTGTGCAAGAGATTTGTCAGTAGTATGATATTCAGAACAACAATGAACAACACCAAGTTCATGTATACGGAAAAGCATTTACAACTGAAATTTACCTTATGATTGCTTGTTGCAGGTGCAGCCCGTTCAGCCGCAGACTGGTGAAGCCACAGGCATCTGGAGATTCTAGGGCCCAGAAGCCAAACATGACTTTCCCACTGTTACTGGTAAGTTTCGGCAATTCCTGCGTTTAGGCTTTAGGATTGACGCAGTTATTGTTCCCAGCACGATTTGGCGTTTTTCGAATTCTCTGCAATGTGGACATCGACATTCGACGTTAGGGTTGCGATTGTATCGTGGTTATCTTCTTTTGCATGTTTCTTTTAGGTTCACAGTTGCAATGAGCATGTTTACTTGTTTACTGATGACTGGTAACAGCTGGTTTCTCGTTGTCATTGTTTGTATCATTCTTGTGGGTTTTATATGGTTAGGTCGCGGTCGCTGATTTGAGAACAGAAGTTGGGCCAACATTTCCGGAACAGGCCTAGCCATCGTGGGTGCAGTTCTTGGTCCTGCTGTTGATGCCATCCACAACCAGGCGTGCCACCGGAGTAGATAGGGAGGATCGTGACATGGCTGATGGAATGGTTGTGATAGCGCGGCAGGACTGCAGTTCGTTGCACTAGCGCATCCTTTACTCATTCCTGCGCTAGGCAAGGCAAAATGCACTCTAATTCACTCCGCGTCCTGTTCATCATGCAAGTAGGATGTGCGACAGCACTCTACTCAACGAGATGTAGTGATCTGAGCAGAATCTCAGTGTATTCTGGGATGCCGCGTTTATGACTTGGCCTTGAGGCGCTCCTTCGCTATGATCTTCTACCGGTCAGTGCTGACTTGGTCGGGTGCGGTGTTGCACGTACATCGATACTGGTGGCTCGGACCCGAACCAAGTCATTCAAGACACTTGGTCTTGACCATAACCGCAGCACGTTCTCTTTCTTTCTTCACTGTCAGGTGCCGCCGCTGCTTGCTGTGGCCTATGCGCTGCTGGGGAGTATCCTTCCAGCAGCAGCCGCGTCGAAACTTGGTTCTTGACACCTGCGCAACACTACACCCTAGACCAAAGCACAAGTGACGTGTAAATATGTGTAGATGCTCGATACGAAATGATTTCCGATCGGTTTAATAAGACATTAGGATAATTTTTTTGAACCACAGCCAGAGCAGATATCACGAAAGACCAGCATCTGCATGCAAGGATGATAGGAAGCTGCAACACCAAGAACTTGCCACTGCTGAGTTTGGACCCGCAGAGACGAGCTATTCTGGCTGTTGCGTCCACATGCATTATCATCAAGGCGAGCGAGCTGCTTCTGACAGCTGGCTGGAACGGTCCTGAAGCTCTTCCTGTTTTGATGGCGATGGCCTTTCTCCAATGGGCATCTCTGGATGGTCGCCCGTTTGCACTGTTCTTGGCGCTGTTGGCTGCTATTGGCGGACCGCTGTGCGAGCTCCCGCTGATGTGGCTGGGGGCCTGGCACTATACAGCTCCTGACTACTGGCCTCTGGCCTACTTTGGCTTTGGACCAGCAAGTGGGGCTGCTTGGGCTGGGTTATCCATGACCACAGGGCCTTGTTATTTCGCAGTCACCACGGACGCCATTGCTCTTGGCAGGCTTTTCAGAAAGCGCCAGTGTGCTTAATGTACATCCTAGGGACCAAAGTGTCCAAACAGAGGTGGGCGAGAAGGCAGAAGGCCATGGAAAGATTGGGCACCAGCATTCCTTCTTGTGCGCTTTGGTCTGGGATTTGTTTTCGGTTCAGATTCTTTCTCAATGCGCGTCCGGTGACTTGCTTGGATTGTGCGTGATCAGGTTTTGGTTTGACTCAGGCGCAGTACTGCCTGGGCTTGATTGCCGTGTTGTGATTCGGCTTGCCAGGTCCGGATCTCACGGAAGTGCGCCCGGCGGCTTTTCCGTTTGCTGGCCGCTGCGCCTCGCCCCCCAGCCTCCCTGGGTGCGCTGAGGGCATGGCAGCCATCGCATGTCGCAGCGCAGAGGTTTGGCCTTTGCATGGCCTGGCCTTTGCTGAGCTGTGCGAGCTGTGCAAGGTACGAGCGCAGGCAGCTCTGTGGAGCTTCCGCAGCTTGCGCAGCCTGAGCCGCCAGCCAAACGAGCCAAATGCCAGGATGGTTTCTGCTGTGCTGACTCTTGTGCTGAGGCTTTGGGCTGTAGAGGAAGTACCCAGTTCTGCAGGCGCCTTGGGTCGGGCAGTCATGCTGGGTAGATGTAGCATTGATCATGGAGCACTGTTTCTTCTGCACCAATGACAGCAACTTCCTAAGTTTCAGTGTTTGTGCTACAGCATCCTCTTGTTACCTTCTTCGCAGGAAGCCGCATGCCAAAGTCCGTGCCAGAGTCGAGACCGCGCGGGCCCTGCCTCTTCAGCAGAAGTAGTCATCACGCAGGGCATGGCTCCTAAGACCATGGAAGCAGTGAAACAGAAGCCTTGAAGATTTTGTTGGATGGCCCAGCCTTTTTTGCCTCTGTCTCCATGTTTTGGGACCTTGAGTCCCAAGCGATGTGACAGCCTCATGTAGCAACTCAGAACTCAGATGAGGTGTCTGGGGCAGGTCATCTCCGCTGGTCCGATCTCCTTCTTCGTGAAAACATACCTGAGATGATTTGACAAATTGTTATTTCTCATTACTCCGGTGTTTCTGCCCTTAACTGAGCCCTTGGCCCCAAAATCTCTCAAATAGGTATACAACTTGCAAACTGTGCCCACCCTTGTTCAAGGATTGCTGGACGTGCAGGCCCGGGGGAGATTGGACGGCCAGGCCCGAGGGAGATGGAGACCTGGCTAAAATGGCACCACGCATGGAAGCTTTGCAGGTGGCTCCCTGAGGGCACCTGCTACTTCCCGCCTGCCCCACAGAAGATCACAAGGAGCATGTTCGAAGTTTGCCTGTCTGGGTTTAGGGTGGCGGGTTCAAGGTGATTTGGGGTTGCTATGGTCATGAGCCAGACAAATACAGCAAGGACGCAGCAGACCAAGCCTCCAGCCATGACTTCCCGGTCCTTCAGCAAACCCAAGGCATCTGTCATGTATTCGCTGTTTCAAGGTTCTCCAGAACGGCGCGCTTCAAAGCCTTCAGGCCAATGCCAATAGGAAGGAGTGGTGGTGGTCATTACACATGATCACGTGACAGCCAATTGAGCGAGCGCAAAACCCCCAGAAAAAGACACTGCACGAGTCAGGAAGAAGACAACACACGAGTCAGGAACAAGAAAGGCACCATTCAGGAAAAGCATATGCACAAGAAGAAAAATCAGGTACACACATATTCACTGCCGCCTCTTTTAGCATTGCGATAAGTGGGAGGCGGGGACAGAGGGAGAGCCAGGCACAGACATGTGTTCAAACCACCCCTTGTTCACCTTGCAATGCGTAGAAAGAAATGACAAGTGACAGAGGGAAAGCCAGGTATACAGACATATGTCAAAGCCATCCCCTTTTCACGTTACGAGAAGTGGAATGAAGTGACAAAGGGAACGCCAGGTACATAAATATATCTAAGCCGCTCCCTTCACGTTCCCCGGTGCGCAGAAACAGAGGATTGAAGTGACACAGGGAATGCGATCGACCCCCAAGACTACCGCACTCCCACAGAGAAATGTCTTCTGCAGATTTTGAAAAAGGCGGCCGCTGGTACGAAGAGCTTTGCGATGAGTTTGCACATGATCTTTGTAAATTTCTGCGAATCACGCCTTCCTTTCTCCCAACTCACGCCTCCCTTGTTCCGACTCATGCCATGCTTTCTGGACTGGTGCCATTCCCTTTCCTCGACTCGTGCCTTCTTCTTTTACCGACTCATGCCTCTTTTTTCCGACTCTCACCTGTTTTTCCCGGACTCACGCTTTTACTTCGTCTTGACTCAGGCCCCAACACGTGTAGGCAATTGGCACGAGCCACCCAGTCTGAGAAGTCCCAAGGCATAGATGTACATGGATGTATTATGATTTGTGCCTGTCCAGCCTGTGCAGGGAAAGGCCAAGCCTCCGAGGCCACGAGAGCCTTCTGCATTTTTGCTGTTTGGAAGAAAGTTGGCCTCTTGCAGGGACATGTTTTCAATTGTCATACGTTAGCAGTGCCAGTGACCTCCAGCCCGCGTCCGGAAAGGCTTTGCCCAGCACTTCTGCACCGCAGATGCAAAGGATTGCGAAGCTGTACGCATCAGATTTAAGAGGATTTGCTGCGTGTACGGTGCGTGCGAAAGTGCAGCAGGAATGCTGGCGGAGCTCTGGCCTCATATCTTCATTTGCTGCAGTGAACTGGTTGTCCATGCGCACTCGCACCAACTGGCCTGTAGGCTGGTCCATGCGCAGTCAGGTTCATTTGCAGGAGCAGATGCGGCAACATTGGCAGCATGGCTTGCGGACAGAGAGGAGCGAGAGCCGGGTCCTAAAACAAACATCAGGCTGTCGGAGACTGAGAGAATTGATGTGAAGTATAAGTATCACCTAGGTGTGGATCCAGATCCCCGGCCACCGCAAAACGTGCCGCTGAGGCTCTTGACTTGTTGCTATCGTTCTCACTGACATGGAAGTTCTTGACAAGAATATTTGTCCAGCAAGTTCTTCAAGGAAGTCTTCCTTGACAAGCCAGCGCTCAACTTCGAGATCAAGCTTGCTTGCGTCCGCAGCCCAGCATGTGTCGATGCCAGCGGCATATGGCAGATGGGTTTGTTTGTTCTCTAGCACAACATTACCACTGATAATGTAGGCACCCGCTCAATTTTCGTCTTGCGCCTTTTGCTTTGGCATCCTTGGCCAATGCTGCAGCCTTCCCCACGCTTGAATTGATTGTTTCAACTCGCTCTACTGCATGCGGGGCTGGGAGCCGTCCTACCGATGAAGACGTTTCTACTGATTTGAATTCACAATTCAGAAAGTTCCGGGATTGCGATTGCCAATTGCTTATGCTTTGGCGGGGTCACTGCATGCGTGTCCGCACTCTGTGGATCTATGATCAAAGAGGCCGCCACGAGCGCCCGCTTCAGCTCAGCTCTCAGAATGTTGGTAACTGTAGTTGGACGGTTTAGCTGTCGCGGTACGCGAAGTGCATCTTTCATTTGGCCTGCTTGTGGTCCGGCTCGAGTGCGGACACCTCCCTCTACCTCCCTGATTTCCCTTCTGCAGCCATGGGGTGTTCGGGAAGTACTGTTTCAACGGTCGAGGAAATGGGAGTTCAGAAGGTGGCACATTTTGGACACTCAATGTCAATGACAAAGTTGCCCGTAAAGACTAAGCAGATTCGACGTGCACGGCACCATGAGGCTTGCATGCAGAATTTGAGCACACAGACCCTTGCAGAGCCTGGGAAATGTGCGCTCAACGTGGATGGCACTGTTCTGGCTGAGTGTGAAGATTCACCGGCGGCTCGAAGCTACGATTCCTGGCAACATGTGCTCGATGCAGATGATGTAAAGGCGCTCAGGGCAGGGCGTAGCATGCCCATGAACCAGACGGCGCACGATATCATCACCAAGAAGATGGAGTCTGCTCTGAAAGCACTTGTAGAGGATCCAGATCGGCTGAAACATACTGTGGCTGAGCGCCGCATGTCGCATGAAAAGCGAATTGGGTTATCCAGCCTGCAAAGCCTACATGGTCTTCAACCCATTCACAAGGAAGGGAAAACCAGATGTGACAGAATGTCCAAGGCCAGCTCAGGCTCAGAGTTAGTCTCCATGTAATCTCTGTCGCGCAGACGGTGTGCCTTTCTCAGCTCAAAAAGCTGTACCTGAACGTGTACTTCTCTGTCCGTTGTAGCGTGTTTCTTATCTGTAGGACCTGCGGAGCTCCTTACGTCTTCAGACAGTACCCGTGTGCCGCAGTAGCTATTCGTGCATAAATGAAGAAGGTGCCGCATGAGTTTTCAGCAGGTCTTGACAGAATCTGCGAGAGGCAGAGTTTATTTTCAAGAGCATTCTTCACCCAGATGAAACTTCGCAGATGGCTTCCGCGGAGCGGGACAGCCTCTGCATCTTGAGAAGAATCACTGGTCTCTTGGTGCACCTTGCTGTTCTTGCCGCTCACCACAGGGTGGGGCATTGCAGTGAGAGGATCTCTACATAATCCCTTCATTCGGCATCGTCACTGGGGATTTGTCAGCTTACGCCAGCTGTGCCTGGACTATTGTGTGCTTCATGCAGCGCGTGATTAGTCATCAACAATTGCGATTCAAGTGCACTTGCTGTTGATGGACAGACCAGTCAAATCCACCTCGATGCAGTATTTCGATATGCATGTGGAAAGGATGTGCCGCACGCCTTCCAAGCGGAAGACCAGCTCGTCGGTGTATTTTAGCTGATGAGAATTGTTGACACTTCCAGCTAACGTTTCTGACTCCAGCTTGGACGGATTCTGCCATGTCCTGAGACACAGCTCCTGAATTTGAGGATGTGATGTCTCTCTTGTTTGTACATCTCTTGAGGGGCTGCCACTCAATCTCTTGTGCATTGGTCAGTGCTCCGCACATTGACTACATGGAGCGGGCCTCTTCTTGATCCCTTTCATTGGTGTAGTCAGCGTGCAGCTGCGCTGTACTGAACATGCGGTTTGCGATTCTGTGTCCGTTAAAGCACATTTTGTTTTCGATGGGAACTGCGCAGCTTCCTCACTCAGATCCTCCGTCGAAT